TTCCCGCTGCTCCTGGAGGCTCCCTGCAGGTCCGTTGTCCTCGGGCAGAATCCTCGCCCACTCTCAGGGAGAAAAGAGCTCCCGACTTCCCTTCACAGAATCCTTTTGGCTCCATTCACATGCTCAGCAAGGCCACCCAACTTTCTCAAGATCGTAGGCACAGAGATGGTCACAGTCTTCGTGGCTCCGGGTGGGACCCACAGCCCCAGGGAATTTCTGAGTAACAGCAGGGAGGTTAGAGAGATCGTGGGGCTAGGTCTGCACCAAGGGCTCAGCCAAGGGAGAAACAGAAAGCGGTCCTACCACCGGCCACTGGGCTCAGGCCTCCCTGCTCAGCGTGGTTCCCCGGTTTGGCCCCATGGGCGCACTCAGGAAGAGCGCCCGCTCTTGAGGGTTACGCAGGAGGCAGGGGCAGGGAACGGGGACGGGGCGGAGAGTTCAGGCCAGCCCACCAGTGGGGAGATGGGGAAGAAGCAGGACCACATGCGGGAATATTAGCCGCCAGCGTGAACTGTGAGGCGTCACGCTCCGTGAGAGGAGCCAGGCACGCAGGATTGCACGGTTCCCCGTACGCGGGATGTCCAGGGAAGGCAGCGTCTAGAGACAGAAGGTACATTCTCGGTTGTAGGGGGAGAGAGCGGGGGCAGGGGCAGTGACTGCTGATCGCGGGTTCTCTCCGGGGAGACAAAACGTCGTGGAACCAGATAGAGGTGGTCATTGCACCACAGTGTGAATGTGCTGAACGCCACTGAACTGTCTACTTTAAAAGGTCTAACGGGGGCGCCTGGGTGGCTCGGTCGGTTGGGCGACCGCCTTCGGCTCAGGGCATGATCCTGGAGTCCCGGGATCGAGCCCCACATCAGGCTCCCTGCTCGGCGGGGAGTCTGCTTCTCCCTCTGACCCTCTTCCCTCTCGTGCTCTCTCTCTCTCATTCTCTCTCTCTCAAATAAACAAATAAAATCTTTAAAAAAAATAAAAATAAAAGGTCTAACGGTCACTTTTATGTTACGTGAATTTTAACCTCAAGAAAAGAGAAAAGGGTGCTGGCCTGGACTTGGGGGCCCTGGGTTCAAGTGTGGCCTCTACCACTGTGGTTAATGGTGCTCCAGGCAGGGCCCCACTCAGCTTTGGAGGCTCAGTTTCTCTTTTATGAAGCAGGGCGGTGGGAGAAGCCGAGGGTGAAGCACCTCACCAGAAAGGGGATCTTCCAGGACTCACGGGGGACTGGTTCCTGGGGTGCGGGCCTCCAGTCCTGGCTTACTTTCCCAGTGTGGGCTGAGCTGGAATGTGTGTCCGAGGAAGCGTAGGCAGAAGTGGTTCTAGTGCTACCCTCACTGCGTCTTCTGCTGTGGTCACTCGTCCGGGCGTGGTCACTCGTCCAGACATGGTCACTTGTCCGGGCATGGTCACTCGTCCAGGCGTGGTCATTCGTCTGGGCGTGGCCTCAGTGGCGGGAATGTCTGTGTCAGGCAGCTGATGAGCCTCTGAAAATGCATGTCTTGCTGCCGCCACGTGTCTCCCCTCCTGCAAGCACTGACCATTTCAGAAGACCCTTCGGACCCGCCAGCAACCGGACAGCCCTACAGCCAGCTGGTGTCAACGGCCCCACCCATCTCTGGCACAGTCAATCATCAAACCATTGACCACCCAAGCCAATTGGGTCTTCCCCCTAAGAGGTCTGGGTTTGGGACTCAGGGCTTTTCCTGGGGGTTTATGCCAAAGGCCTAATGAACAAGTCAGAACACTGGTTGGACATTTTGGTCTTCGTCTGATTTCTTCATGTAGATCATATGCAACCGGTGCTGGGCTCTGTCCTGCACCTCCTTGCACAGGCTTGTTTGGGAGGTGGCCCCCACCTTTTTAAAGGGATATTAGTTGAATTGTGTCCCCCTAAAACAACAGAGAGAAGTCCTACCCCCCCACCCCAGGTCCTCAGAACGTGGCCTCATTTGGAAATAGGTGATTGCAGAGGTAACTAAGGAAGATGAAGTCATCCTGCAGCAGGGTGTCCCCAGCCCAGTGGGACTGTGTCCCTACAGGAAGACGGCACGTGAAGACCGGACACAGTGACAGTGGAGAATGGCCAAGGACCACGGGTGACCAGAGGCAGGAAGAGGGAGGACAGGTCCTCCCCAACCGGCTTCGGAGGACACATGGCTCTGATTTTGGACTCTGGGCTCCAGAACGCTGTGAGAATAAACTTCTGGTGTGGAGAGCCCCCAGCGTGTTGTGCTTTGTTGTAATAAGCCCTAAGCCGGTCCTGAGATATTATAGAAAGGGTGGACACCTGTGCCCAGGCCCCTTCTCGGACCTGGCCAGTCGTGTCGGCCCGTCAAGGGCACAGGTAGAGCTCGCCTAACTTGTCTGCGTGACATTCCCCCGGAGTCCCCATCTCACTGAGCACCCGTGGGTCCCTGTGTGTGCAGCTCCGTGGGGGGCCTGGCTCTCCCTGTGGGCACGTCTGAGCCGAGGGGGCCAAAGGCCCCAGCAGCTGGGAGAGCACGTCCGTGTAGAATCATCTTCTGGTGGAAGGAGGGACAGATGGACCGAGGCAGTGCTGTGCCAGGCAGCCTCCATGACGGGGACCTGCACGCGCAGATGTGAGCTTGCAGGGTCTCCTCCCGCCTCAGACTGGCCACCTCCAGGCCATCTCACACCCTGAGTTTGCCTCGCTCACGGAGTACAGGGGGAGGAGGTAGTTCCCAGTGGTCAGCCTGCCTCCTGCGGCCAGCTCAAGCCCACAAGAAGGAAGTGCAGGAAGAGCCGTCCTGTTCCCATCGCTAGTCCCAACCTGAGTGGACACAGACAGTGGCAGGGAGGTCTGGGCTGCCTCTGCCTCCCACCCCCGGGCAGCTAGGGGGAGTGGGGCAGCCTCGGGATGAGGTCCTGCCCGCTGGGCCCCAACACCCCCCTGGCTCCCTGAGGCCCCGGGGGCAGCACCTGCCTGCTGGGGGTCTGACCCCAGACATTTCCACCCTGTCCACGTAGCAGTGTGGCCCACACACGCATCTGTGTCACCGTACTCGGCCCTTTGGAGGTTCTAGAAGTGAGTGGGGCGTGGAAAAAGGAAAATGCCAATCAAAAGTGTAGCTCCCACACCTTGAGGCCAAGGAGGAACGATCGGAGCTGCAAGGGGTTGGCGGGGGGGGGGGTCCCTCCACCTTCTTCCCCCGACCTCCGCCCCAGACTTCTAGGCCAGCAGAGCGAACCCTGTCCTCTGAGCCGTGCATCAATGCCTTGACCTTACCCTTGACCCCCCACGTTCTCTGGCTCCCACAGCCAGGGGGCCAGAAATCACAGTGCAAATGTCTCCAGCATCCAATGCTTCCAGCCCCTGCTGCCGACGTGGTTCACCATTGGGTCTGTGTCTGGAACACGAGTGACACGGAGCCCTGGTCACCTCTAGCGTATTCCACACTTGCTTATTACATCCCGTCTCTGCACTACCTTCCCCGTTGATGCACGCCCCACTGGGGCCAGACCCTGTGCACTTTGCTGTTTTGTTCACGGACATATCCCGACTGTCTTGCACACTAACTAGTACACACTGGCTGGAGGTGTTTGATAAATGGTTGTTGGACGTTAATTGCAGGGAAGCTGTGTGTTTCCTTATGGAATCGCGGATACGGATGTAAAGCCTGAGCTATACACGTGCTGTTTGATGTCTGTATCTTTGATTTGTGTTTATATGTTCAGGGACCTGGAACACCTGTAGGGCGGCCCCCTCTGAATTTCCAGAATTTAGCAAAAGGATCAGAAGATTTCACTTTACTTTAAAATAGTTTCCCTATTTCAATGCTACTAAGAAAAAAAAAATTCACAAACTGACACAGGAAATTCTGATACAGTATAATCTTGACATTGAAAAAATACACAGCCTTAATCTTCAGTGCAACAGTCGGTGAACGTATCTTAAGTATGACGGAAACAGAAGAGCTTTTTTCCTGTTGACATCCATTCTAACATTTCCATGGACTTGGGGCCAGGCATCTCACTGCTGAGCAGCCAACATGGGCGCCCAGCCGCGTATTAGTCAATGCACGGACAGGCTGACTCTCACACTGAACTTGCTCCCACCTTGCCCTGGATTATCGGGGGAACTCATCCTACATCCTACAACCTGGCACTAAGCAGTGCCAGAGCTGAGGTGTGCCCCTTGCGAGTAGCTCTTATAAACCTGCAGAGTCCGGAGACACCTACACTCTTGGCAGCCAGGGCTTTCAGAGCTGCTCACGCAGACCCCGTGGCTCTTCCTCTGTGTTTTGGGCACAGTGGCTGCTGAGCCAAGGCCACACACACCAGGTCAGGTACAGGACTCAGAGCAGAAAGGTAGATTTGGGGAGGTGAGAATTCAGTTCCATTCTTCAGAAATCTCTGGGAGGATAATGTTCACCACCCTACACAACGCTTTCTATGGTGAGGGCCAAACACCTAGGCTACTTCATGCTGTCCATGTCTGTTCCATGCTGCTCCATGCTGCTCCTAGCTGCTCTGTGGTGCTCCATGCTGTTTATGCTGTTCTATGCTGTTCCATGTCTGTTCCATGCTGCTCCATGTCTGTTCCATGTTGCTCCATGTCTGCTCCATGCTGTTCCATGCTGCTCCGTGTCTGTTCCATGTTGCTCCATGTCTGCTCCATGCTGTTCCATGCTGCTCTGTATCTGTTCCATGCTGTTCCACAGCTTCTCCATGCTGTTCCATGCTTCTTCATGCTCTCCCTCACTTGCTTTCACACACATCAATAGGACATGCAGTAGCACAGAGAGGGTCAGTTCTCTGGGGAGGTGCCGAGGAAAGAATCACTGCGGAGGAGGCACTTGGGCTGAGCCTTGCATGATAGAAGTTTATGAGCAGAACCAGGAGGGGAAGGGCATTCCCAGGAGAGGGAACAGCATGACCCAAGGCCTGAGGCAAGAGCACGCCTGGCTGACTTGGAGAGGGCAGGTAGTACCTGAGCGTTACTGGTCGGAGTACCTCACTCAGTTTCCACAGACGAGTGTCTATTCTGGGCTGCAAGTCAGCAGGTAGATGAGGACACCACCCTTGCAGGGAAGCAAGCCGTGGACCAGGGACAGGATGAGTGCCCTGTCCAAGCACAGGGCTGGAGGGCTGCAGGGAGGGGGACAGAGAAGGGGGCTCACTAACACAGCTGTGGGGCAGCAATGCCGGCAGAGAGGACCCCCGCACTCAGAGGCCAACGCGGAAGGGAGCTTGACCTGCAGGCGTGGTAGGAGAAGAGTGGGTTAGCGGGGGCAGGGAGAGCTGGAAAGAAGGGGGGTCCTCAAGAGGCTAGTGGTGCAATCCAGCTGGGGCGCGGCAGAGACCACGGAGGACAGCGAACGGATCTAAAGCACGTGACGGACTAGGGCTGCCACCAACAGGATCCTCGGCTGTCTGGGATGCGGGGAGCAAGGGGCAGGAGCTCTGAGGGGCTCCTCAAGGCTGGCCTTAGCACTGGGGGGGAGAGGTGCCATTTACTGAGATGGCGTTGGTGGGCGCCTTCTGGCAGGAGGCCAAGCGCACAGGACGAGGAACCCTGGTGAAGGCCGAGGGCTCTGGGGGGTCTTGTGTTCCCGGTGTTTCTGCGGAGAGGTGGGGGAGCAGAGGGCAGCGGGCGGGAGAGCGGGGTGTCCAGGCCGGGGAGACGTGGGGTGAGAGGGGCCCAGACTCCTGGCTGGTGCAGACTGGGTGGGGGGGTGGGTGGGCAGGGGCAGTCCGCGAAAGGAGTGGCAGCGGGTCTTGTCCCCAGGGGCAGCACGGAGGGGATTCAGTCAGCCCTGCGGCCCACCAGGAGAGAGCCTCCCTGGTTCTCGAGTTAGGAAGGGGAGGGGAGGGAGGAAGGGACAGCAATTTGCCAGGAACCAGGCACTTCTTACACATTTGTATTTTAAAAAATGAGAAAATAACATAAAAGTACAGGGAGGAGGCTTTGAGCTTTCAAGTTTGGGCCAGAGTTTCCACAATAGGGTCCTCAGCCACAATTGTACCACACTGAGAGCCGGTCCCACAAACCCGCGGACCTTGACCTCTGCATCTGGCGGCCATTCAGGACAGGGAGTGGGAGCATCTGTGTTTGTTTTTTGTACCATTGCTTTGAGGGCTGAGAGCCACGTCTTTCCTCTTGGGGTGTTTGTGGTTTCAGTGCAACGCATCCAGGCTCGGTGTGGCTCCCGGGAGGGTCTCAGTGTCCCAGGGTTAACGCCGGCTTTTAAAAATAACTGACAAAAGAAAACACCTACCAGGAGACTTTCAAAGGCGTCCGTGCCCTCAGAGGAAAGGCTTACATCAGCATGAAACACGAGGTTGAAAGTTCTCCCACCTGCTCCTGGAATTCTGGTTGGGACACGGTGTTACCGCGTGGCGGGTAGAACCGAGCCCAGGCTCTGCTCTTCCTCTTGCAAGGCCCCTCTGCACCCCTGGGCCTTTCTCTGCCCCCAAAGTCCCCGTGGAAAGGGACGGCGCAGAGAGCCCATTCTCCAATTCCCCACATGCCTTCATTATCTGCAAGCGTGATTCTCAGAAACTGCGGGACGTCTGAGCGGTCGCCTCTTTGGCTGGAAGCGTCCATCCAAATGTGACTGCAGGGTCTGATGGCATGAGATTTTTCACTGAACGGTACAGTTCAGGACTTGATCTTTCCGATGGGAGGCGGCCCTTTTTCTTGTCTTTAACTGCACACTTCAGAGGAGGCAAGACCCCAGCCCCGCCCAGGGCCCTGGCGGACCACCTCCTGTCAGAGAGCGGCTCTCTCTCCCATCTCCGCCTCTTCCTGGGTGAGTCGTCATCGCTCAAGTGAGCCTCAGTTTCCCCATTAAAACCTGGAGGCTGTTTCCCAGAACATCCATAGAGCTTGTTAAAACAGCTAAGTGGGATGGCCGGGGTCTTGTCCCTAGCCACCCAAGCCAGTCACTTGGGAAGCTTTCTCAAACACCGCTCCCCAGAGCAAGGGAACCACAAGCTTTGGGGGTGAGGGCTGGGCCCATGTGATCGGACACGTGCTCTGCTGTTCAGTAAACTCCTCTTAATTATGAATGAAGTGACCGGAGACATGAGCTTAGACTTGGAACAGAAACATGTCCATTTTGGTGAGTTCCTCCTTGGATATCTCTTCTGACGGCTTCAAGCCAATCCTCTCAGCTAGCATCACGACCAAACTCAGCCCTCTTAAGCGTCAAAACATGTTTATTTTAAGCCATTTCTGTTGCAAACGAACGACCTGTGGCCTGATCAGTACAGAGGCGCCTTCCCTCGGAGGCGCCAGTCACCTACTGGTATAGCAAGTTTGTGATGCCCACAGAAGTGATGGACTTGACATCCCAGGTGGCCTCGTGTCCTGTCTGCAGGGCCTCAGAAACCTCAGCTCTCAAGTGGGCCGTCACGTAATATACCTGCTCCGGTCCCGTTAGAGAGCTATGCTGTCCAACATGGCGGCCCCTGGCCGGTCATGGGTGGCATTTGAATGCGAGTAATTAAAATCATGTACCGTTACAATTCCGTTCCTCAACTGCACTTAACCCAGTGTAAGTGCTCAATGGCCATGTGTATCCAAGAGCTGCCATATAGGACAATGCTATTCTGGAACATCCCAGAAAGTGCTAGAGGACAGCACGGTTCTAGAACATTCCGCCATTACAGAAAGGGCTATTGGACAGTGCAGCTCTGGGGCATTTTCAACACCCCTCCCTCTCACCCCTGCCTTCCCCCAGCACCTTTCCCAACCCATCCCCTCCCCCACCACCTCAAGAGGAGACCAGGCTCAGTGCGGTTTTGTGCCCACAGTGTGGACGGCTGCATAATGGCCCAAGGTGTCCTTGTCCTCATCCTTGGGACCTGTGGATATGTGACCTCACGTGGCAAAGGGACTTTGCAGCTGGGATGAAGGATCTGGAGGTGAGGAGATGAGCCTGGACGACGCGGGTGGGCCCCGTGGACTCACAAGGTCCTTGTAAGAGGGAGGGCGAGGGTCCAAGTCAGAGGGACGCTGTGGTGATGGAGGCAGAGGCTGGTGGCAGTGACATGCTTTGAAGGTGGTCTTAGGAGGGGCCCTGAGCCAAGGGACGGGGGCGCCTCTAGCCGTTGGGGAAGTCTGGAAACAGCCAGAAGCCTCCAGCGGGAGCCAGCCTGCCCGCACCCTGACTGTCGCTCCCTGAGACCCGTGTCTGCCCTCTGTCCTCCAGACTGTAAGGCAACAAGTGCACATTGTTGGGAGCCACTGAGTCTGGGGCAGCTGGTACGACCACCACAGGACACTCTCCCTGTGCACGAAAGCCCACCTCCCTCAAGACTCGGGCGTCGTGACACTGCCCCAGAAGACAAGAAATATTTTTGGTCTGAACCAGACTTTACACCATCCGCTTCTCCTCGACGTCCTCCCCCAGCTTCGCACCCAGGCGAACAGCCAGGCCCCCCACCCATCACCGGCACACCCAAGCTGGCTGGAGTGGAGGTGCCTCGGTGGGCTCTGTGGGCGCCCCGGAGGGCCTGTGGGGCTGCCTCTGGACGAGGCATTGTAACAGCTCACCGTGAGGGTGAGCTTTCCCAGCAAAGATGGTGTGTAAGGAGGTCGGGGTGCTTTCTCTGCAGTGGAGGCCAGAGCCTCGAATCGCCCAAAGCCAGACTGCAAATTGTGGAAACACCACGGGAGGCTCTGAGATTGGGGAAAAATAAAAATCTCTGCCAAGACAAACCACATCCGTATCATACGTTCTCTTTGATTTGAGATGCTATTTGTGGCCTGTAGGGAGTCTATTTATTCTTTATCTCCCCGAAATGAAATGGAGGGTTTTTTTGTTTTTTTTGTTTTTTTTGTTTTTGTTTTTGCTGCACCTCGGTGGATTCCATATTTTCCGCGTGGGGATGGGGCCGTGGTCTGTCTGTCCGTCCCCGGACTCTGAATGCCCGACACAGGCAGGTCGTCTCCACATTCTTCACATTTCCAGAGAAAAAGATAATCTTAGTTTTTAAAATGTAAACAAGTAATACCTACTTACTTTGCGGGGGGAAGACCATTTAGGGGAGGAAGAGGAAGAAAACATGCAATGCGTATGTGCCACGTCTCACTGTGCGCCGGGCAGAAAGGTAATGTTGGGAGACAACACGATGGGTTGTTCGTAGCTTTGCATCACCACCAGAGGGGAATATTCGTGATGCTGTGAGAATAAAAATGCTATTATCAATCAGGATGTTCCTCAGCCTCACAAAGGAAGAAAGCTCTAACACAAGCTTTAGGATGGGTGAACGTCGGGGACGTGGCGCTAAGTGAAAGAAGCCAGTCACAAAAGCCCAAATATTATAACGGTTCCACTTATGTTTTATTGTAGCGCCGTCAAAATCGCGGAGACAGACGCTTGAATCCGGGCTGCCGGGGGCTGGGGGCGGGCGTGGGCAGGGAGCGCGCACTGGGGGGTGGGGTGGGGTGGGGTGGGGGGCAGAGTTCCAGTTCTGCAAGATTCAGAGAGCTCTGGGGCCGAGCGGTGGGACGGCTGCACACCATCACGAACGCAATAAATGCCACAGACGCGTTCACTTGGAAATGGGTAAAATGGTAATTTATGTGATGAGTGTTTCATTACAATTAAAAAAAAAAAAAAGGCAGAACGACCACAACTAAATGGCACCGGGTCCTGAGCGCACATTGGAAACCCCCTCGGCCATGAAGCCGGAGCGGGGGCTCGAGCCGGGGATCGCAGGCGGCCTCAGGGGCCGGGACGGGCCAGGAAGCCGCGGTTTCCTGCCAGCCCCCCGACGCCTTCCAACTGGGCTTCTAGAACTGTGAAGGAACACATTGCTCTTGGGTTAGCCCCTCCAGTCTGTGGTCATCTGTCACAGCAGCCCCAGGACGCTGAGACGCCCAGGAGTCTGGAGGCGGGGAAGACGCACGTGGGTCCCCGTCCCTCGGGAAGCATGCAGGGGCCATGAGTGTGGAGAGACAGAGGGCGCCTGTCTGAGACAAGGAAGCGTGGGCGGGTGGCCCGGGTCAGCGGGGGCTTGCTCGGGCACTGCCATGGGCGCCGAGATACCCCGTGTCCCCACATTTCCGTTCCCTACCCTACTGAGGCTTCTTTGAAGTAGTTTCTTTTCCCCGCAACTGTGATGCACAATGACTGAAACAATGATCTCTTTCTCTCTTTTTAGTGTCAGAGGCGACATCCACTCGGATGCCCCCTTCCGCAGCCCGGAAGGATGAACGGACCTTCCGGTTCATCAGGGGTTGAAGTGGACGGTAGTTGTCCACCATCGAATGCTCTTCTTCACCGAGCGCCGAAGACAGGAGCGTGCGAAAGGCAGCCAGCTGCAACGGAGAGCAACCAGAGTGGGCCGGGTGCAGGTACGGAGAGAACCAGCTCCCAGACGGCCCTCCTGCCGTGCACACTCGCGCTCCGCCCCACCCCTGCCCACACACTGAATCAGGGATGGCTGCGCACGGCCGGCACAAGGTGGCGGAGGGGACGGCCAAGCTCGGTCAGAAGAGGCATCGAAGCTTCCGCCTTGGTTTCCAGCGTCCTTGCCCTGGAGAAGTCAGCCGCTGTGTAGTAAGGACTGCCAAGCGGCCTCCATGAGAGGAGCCGAGGCGCTTGCCAGCCGCCGAGTGAGCCTCCAGCCTGGCTCAAGCTTTCAGAGCCCACAGGACTTCTGACTGCAACGCTGCGAGCGATCCCAAGCCAGAACCACCCCGTACTCTGACCCCCGGCAACGCAGGGGGATACTAACGGTGATCGTTTCCTTACGCCTCTACCGTTGGGAGTTGCCATGCGGCAACAGTCAACGAACACCTATAACGTAAAACCTAAGCGAGTACATACAACAGGAAGTAACATTTGACTCGCTTCTCACTGAAGGAGCTAAAAGTCCATTTTGATCACCTCATTTGTTCTCCGAATACACTGAAGAGCTCTGCAAGGATCACTCCCATGTTCGATGACCTATGGAGCTGGGGTTGTGTCTACACAGTGACCATGTGTGGAGCAAGCTGGCAGCTGCCCCCAGAGTCATGGAGGGCACGGAGGACCCAGGCTCCCGGGGCTCAGGCACAGGATGTCCTGCACCTGCTGTTGGCTTGCTCAGGAAGGCAGCTTCTCTCCCCTCCTCCACCCACCCCCTATCCCCCCACCCTGCAGCGGTGCATGCACCACCCCCCCAGTTCCTCTGCTCGGGGTAAGGGGCTTCTGCTCTGCATTGCTGTTTAATACTCACCCCCATCTTAAAAGAATTAGCTCGTGTTTCTATTTCCTCCCAGACGGCAGTGTGCAGAGACTGTTCTCGATGGACCTCATCACTGCATCTGCTGCTACCCATCTCCCACCCTCTTCGGCAGCAATACCCGACATGCATGGGTGCTCATTACGTGTGTGCTGAGTGACAGGAGGGGTCTTGGTGACCAGGGGCCATTTTTCGACCAGGGTCCTCCTTGTGTTGCTAACAGTTCTGATTTGGGAGAAGAGTGCATCGCTCGCTCTGCCTTCCAAAGCAAACAGCGTCATTCCACGACTTTTGCACGAGAGGACGTTTGCAGAATCACGAGGCCGGAGCCTCAGAAAGAGACTGGCAGGGAAGGCCCACCCTGCACGGGGACAGGGGCCGTGGCTGCGAGCTTGCTGCGTGTCTGTCACCCCCAGACTCTGAATGCCCGACACAGACATGATGTCTCTGCATTCTTGAGATTTCCAGAGAAAAAGATACTCTAAGTTTTTTAAGTGTTAACAAGTAATATCTACTTACTCTGGGTGGGGAGGAGGAGGGGAAGACTATTTAGAAAAGGGAGAGGAAGGAAGTCAGAAGGAGCGCAGGCATCCCTGGACATCCAGGGTTAAATTTCTGGTGTAAGTGTGCGTGCCAGACTAGGGCATTACTCTGTGAGCACTCGCTCGCCTCCTCCCCGCCCCGTGGGCCTCAGCCACTGGGACGTGCTGTGGCCAGCAGCTGAGAGCATGTGGGCTCTGCTGGTCTTCTGCGTTTCTGTCATGCACCACGGACCCAGCTCTGGGCAGCCACTGGTCCAAGGAGCGCAAGACAACCTGGGCCCGGCCCAAACCCCAACCCCCTGCCATCCACAGCCAGCCCACGGACCCAAAGCAGGTAAAACAGATGCTCGTTAGGAGCCATTGAGTTTTGGGGTGGTTTGTTAACCCGCATTGTTGTAGCAATAGCTGACTGACCTAATCCTTCTGGAATTTTCTCTCAACATGTATAACTTAATACAGCCCGTGAGAGAAACTCTCAGCAAACTCAATTGTTTACCGTTCTATCATCCAAAGAAGGGGGGAAAAAAGCTCCAAATCTCCTCCTCTCCTTCAGTGACCCTACTTCTTTCACGGCTTTGCAAAATTCATCGACGATACTCCTTTCTCGGCTAATTTGTTTACCTACAAATACCCACGGAGGTCCCATCATGGGGACCCACGTCCCAATTCTAACGTCACTTCTGTTCTTGCTGAAGTAACTTCAGCCCGACACACACACCAGAGCAAAGCCCTGACCTTGTTCAGCCATTTGTCATCAGGGAGACTTGCTGCGCCTGCATTCGAAACCGCTGAAGATTAAGACAGAGCCGGTGTTACAGTTCGCCTAGCTCCTCTTTAGCTGGAGAATCCAAACCACACCGGACAACGAAACCCGTGACGCACGCTCACAGTGTCTCGGTGGCCCTGAACAGGACTTGAGCCCTCAGGCCCTTCCCCCCACGCCGGTTCGGGCGCAGCTCACCTGGCTCTGAGCCACTTCGACAGGCTGCTTCTGGATGATCCAGGTGACCGACTCGCTGAGCGGAGGCGTGGTGAGGGAGCCCGGGTAGGTCCAGTAGTCCCGACAGGCAGGCAGGAGACGGGCGGGCTGGAAGGGGCCCACGGCAGCCCGTGCGCCCTGAGAGACCAAGACCGCAGGTGGCGTCGGGTCTCAGGCAGAGACGGTGGCGGTGGGGGGAGGGGGGGGGTGCTGGCAGGAAGGGGATGGTGCCCCATGTTTGTCCCAGCGACCAGGCCTTCATGGGACAAGTTCGGTCCTGGGATAAAGGTGGTGAGGCCGCAGTTGTCACATTTGGAAGCAGAGCAAAGAAAATGTGACCCTCCCGGGCAGAGCAGCGATGCCCACCAAAGGCTTACACGTTTCCTTTCTGAGTTTTTCGTGTTTGCATACCTCCGCTGTGAAAACAGGACATTTTTGAAAACAATGGTAAAATAACCCACGTAACATGAAATTGACCATCCTAACCATGTTTAAGCACAGAGTTCTGTGGCTCTAAGGACGTTCACGCGGTGCGACCACCACCACCACCCATCCCCAGGACGTTCCTGTCTTCCCGAGCAAACTCTGTGCTCATTAGGCACCCCCTCCCCTGTCCTACCCCCGGTGCCAGCACCGGCCCCCACCATCTACTTCCCGTCCCTGTGGATCTGAGTCCTCCGGGGACCTCTGTGAGCAGAACCGCGCAGCGTTGGTCCCATTGTGACGGGCCGACCTCACTCTGCACAGTCCTCTCCAGGCCCATCCACGCTGCGGCAGGTGTCAGAATAGCCTTCCCAACACTCCACTGCATGGATCAACTGCATTTTGCTCATCCGTTCATCCCAAAACAGACGCTTGCCCCTCTGGCCTATTGTGAGGGATGCTTTTGTGAACATGAGGCACCCATGTCTCTTCAAGACCTTGCTTTCAGTTACTTGGGGGACATATCCAGAAGGGCATGTACCGGATCCCACGGTAATTCTGTGTTTAAGTTTTGAGGAATCACCGGACTGTTTCCCACAAGGGCTGCCCCAGAAAATATTACTCTTTCTAGACAGTTGGTGTTCTCTTTGAAGCAGGCCGCCCTGACCATTATGCCAGGATTCTCCCTCTCTGGACGCTGTTCTCGACCACCAAGCACCAAGCTCCCTGTGCTGCAGCCGAGGGGGGCTCGTGTCAGCGCCTCCCCCACGTGGGAGCCTCTGGTCAGAATCTGTGCCTATTGGCTTTCCAGCCTTCATCAAAGGATCGGGCACAGCTGCCTCTCTGCGTTCCGGGGGTCATGGATGGGGCACCTCCTTCATTCATTCACCCACAGCTACGTGGGGCACCCCGACTCTATGCTGGGCACGGGGGGGACGGTGGCAGGAGGAGACCGGGAGGACAAACTACCCACATTCACGGGACTCACTTTTTACCAGAGAAAAGCAGAGCACACGCAAAATAAGTAAGTGAAATATCAAGTCGTTCCAAGCACAGTAAGCATGATGGAGGAAATTTAAGTAGGGCAGTGGGATCAGAAATGCTGGGGGGGGGTTAGCGGTTGGCGTGTTAAGAGGGGATGGTTCTCAAGGCCTCATAGAGGACACGTTTGAGTGAAGACTTGGAAGGGCTAAAGGAAGTTTCTAGGGGGAAGAGCCTTCCAGAGAGTGGGCAGAGCCAGTGCAAAGGCCCTGAGGCAGGGTGTGGCCTGAAGGGCTTGAGGAATAGCACAGAGGCCACCTGGCTGGAAGGAGTGAGTGAGAAACCAAAGCAGTAAAGCGGTGGAGGGCAGGGAGCCTGCAGAAAGGGACCCCCCCCCCCCCGCTTCTGCCCAGGACTAGGGAATCCCTGAAGAAATCCACCAGCAGGGGCAGGAGTCCCAGGGCTGCAATCTGGTTGCCACTCAGCACAGTGCCGGGTGAGGGAAGGGTGCAGACAAAGGAGGACCTATTGGTTCTCCAGCTGGGGGCCCTCCAGCAGGCTTTTGCTCAGTGACGGAAGGATCTCTTGGGGTCCCTTGGGTTGGCAGGCTCAGGACCATGGTCCCTGCTGCTCTGGAAAGCCAGGGAGACCAAGGCCGAGGGCACAGCCCTGGGAGCAACGCCACGCTAGCCAGCGCCGAGGTACCGGAGCTGTAGCCCCGGGCGGCACTGTGGGAGGGTGTCCAGGCACGGGGCGGACACACTTGTCCCCAGACCCTGCGTCTGAAGGCACAGTTCCTCTGTGGGGGGCGTGTCGGAACTCCCAGTCCCTCTCGAGGCTGATGACGTCACCCTGTGTGCTCTGGTGACGTCGTGAAGGAAGCAGGTCACAGGTGCACTTGGGACAAAATGCAAGAAGTGTGCAAGAAGCACCGTGGCAAATCCACACACCTCCCCCTCCCCCGAAGGGGCTTCCGAGGCTGTGACTGTGAGGTTTCAGATCCACCCACAAGAGGTGTCTCTACTTTATTAAAGAGGAATGTTGGGGTACGTAGACGGGACTTTCTCAAAGCGGTAGAGCCCAGACGCTGCGGGAGCCTGCCCCACCCCGAGGCTGGCTGTCCCTCCTTCCCTGGGGCTGCAGGGGTGGGGGTAAAGGCGGCGGCTTGTGTGGAGGGCCGGCTGGATGCACCCACCACCACTTTCCCGCCAATTAAAGTTTTGGGAGGATCCGTGACGACACATGTGTCAGAACCGCAGAACGGTAGGCCACAGAGATGGTGTCTAACGTTGCCAATGTAAAGAATGGCTCCGGACGTTGGGGGCACCCAGCATGGGGCGCAGAGAAGGGCCACTGAGTCTAACGGGACCCCATCCCCCCGGCCCGGGAGGCACAGACGCCCACCCTGCAAGCTGGACCTTTTGTGTCCTAGGCGCTCACCCTTCTTTCTCAGGTTGGGAAGCTGAGGCCAAAGACGAGCGTCAGGCCCAGAAGCGAGGCCCAGGCACCTTCCCTGACACCCAGACGGCCCTGGGGAGCCAGACGCGCTCCAGAGCTTCCGCGGAAGGAAAACAGACCCCAGAGTAAACAGCCCCTCGCGGCCAGGTCCTTCCCTTCCCACCAAGAGGTGGAGGCCACACCGTGTGGGAGGTGGACGCCCGGGGAAAACATCCTCAGTTTACTCTGGCTGCAGACCAGTGGGGGAGAGGATGCTCCCAGCACCTTGACCTTGGGAAGTTCCTGAGCCTGTGGACGGGGCAGCAGGGGGTGATCTGGTCTCGGTCCCACGGGGCCAGCCCCAAGGTCAACATCAAAGGGAACACACTGCCCACATCAAACAGACCCCGTGAAGCCGCCGAGGAAGGGCTGGCCCCCTGCTTTCATCTGGAGCCACTTGGGCCATTGTTGCGACAGGTCCGGGCCCATCCGTCCACGTCCAGGGACCACCAGGACTCCTCGCATCCTGCAATTCTTTTGTTTGGTACTGAACAAATAAACTACATTTCTTAGGAATTTCCATGTGTCCATCAAAGTCCTTTCTCAGCTCATGTTGGAGGAAAGCTGCATTGTTGTCCTTGTCTTTTTGAGCTGAGCTTAGTGCAGCAAGGTGCACCAGGGAAGCTGAGCGAAGACGCCCTCGCGGAGGGCGAGCGGGTGGGCTGGACTTTCTTCCTACCCCCGGCCTCCCTGTTCTCCTGGGGTGGGGTGACCCTGAGATCCCGCACCGGGAGTGTGGCAGGTGGCATGTGTGTGGACACTCCTAAATGAAAGATATTTACTGCAGTCGGTTTTAAAGCAAACATCATCCCTAGGAGATGTCATTGCCTGGGAGAAGTCTAAAGATTCTTTCAAGCTGATCGGTTTAAGGAAAAATACTACGTAACGAACAGTACCAGTGACAGGCGGACGTGGCAAACACCTTAAGATGCTGCCTGAGTGGCTGAATTTTGGGAAAGTCGGAGGGAGTCCAGCACCCCCACTGTACTGAGGAGGGAGGGGTCCACGGGGAGCAGGGACCCGCGGACGTCCGGGAGTGAGCCCGCTGGGGACGCGCTGGAATCAGCCCCAGGGAGTCCCAGCCCCGGACCGGGGACTCAGACCCCCTCAGCCAGACCCTTCCACCCATTAGATCTTTTGTTGTTGCCAACGAGTCATTAATCTAAGCTGTGCCCAGTGCAAACCACGCAGCTTACCTTATGCTTGATTTCCGGCAAGACTTCCACCAACTTCTGCAGTGCCTCGTGCCGGGCCCCCAGCTGCACGGCACAGACGGGAAAGGCCGGCGTGAGAAGGCAGCAGGCGGGAGGGCGAGCCCACTCCACGCTCCACGGACGGTGGTTCACCCGCTTCGCCGGGGGAGCCGCGCCCCAGCAAGCTTACCTTTAGAAACACGCCGATCACGGCCACGCCGTTCTCCCCCATTACGGCTTCTTTGTAATTTCGGTATCTCACCGAATTCCAGTGAACTAAATGCAGCTGAAAGAGAGAAGAAAGGAATTACGTTGATCACGGTGGGGCAAGACATACAGCATCTGCTCCGGCTTCCGGGCCGGACCCAGCACCCATTGCCCGGTTTTACCGGATTCAGGTGTGCCGCCTGCCTGGGGCTCCCAAACTCGGACAGAAGCCCAGACAGTAAGGGCCTGGGCGCTTCCGGCGGGAGGGAAAGGAGGCTCGGCTTCGCGGTGTGAAGCAGGACTTGGTGGCGGGATGGTGTGCTCTCGCTCAGCAATCCTTGAGCCAGCTTGCCAGATCGGCACCCAGACACTCAGTTACATTTGAATTTCAGATAAACAACGCACAGTTTTTAATGTGAGTATGCCGTCCAAATTGCATTTTCCCCCTATGTCTGTCATTCTCCTCTGAACCTCATCTATGTCTCTATTTCGCGTCCCTCCTTGGGTTTTCCTGAGCCCAAACTCGGCATCAGGATTGGCCAGCTGGCAAGGATTTAAGTGAGGGGCAGAGGACGAGCCAGGGAAACAGGGGAGGCCAGGTGCCGGGGCCTGGCTTGGGTTCCGTGTGATGGGGGCTCGTGGTCCTGCCGAGGCTGAGCTTGGCCCAGACCCAAGAAGGGGCCTGGGTGTCCGCACATCAGTCCTTTTACGGGAGGAGCTGTGCCACAGGCCTTTCTGAGCGGCGACCCAAGCCTCAAGTCCACACCGGCAGTCCAGAAAGCCCTCCAGCCTGTCGTGGTCAACGAGACCTTCCCCGTGCAGCTGCTGGGTTGTAGGGCTGGGGGGCCTCTGCCAAGGGTGTGGGGTCCACGTGTGCTACAGGTGACACCTCACTCCCAACAAACCCCAGTGCTCCCGGCCACGGGCACTGGGGCCAGCGAGGGTGGCCTGGCCTCTCCCGGCCCTTGCATGACTCACCTGGAATCCGCCCCCCTCCACTGCTGTCCCAGTGGAGTCACCCAGAAATCAAGACAGCTGGGCCCAACGCCCCAGCTGCAGGCTGCTTCCTTCAGGGACCCCACCTTCGAACTGGATTTGCCTTCCAAACCCCCGCAGGAAATGGAGGCTCCCTCATGGGCCAGAGGCACGGCCAGAACGGGCCCGGCAGCCCCTGCTCGGCTGACCCAGGGAGAGCCGCCGGGGGACCCAAGCTCCAGTCTTGTTTCTATGCAGCCGCCTCTTCTGTGAAAGCATCTGCTCATGGAAAACCACGTGCAGACATACAGTTACCAAGACAGAAGGTATGCTGCCAGAGGAGAAAGAGCGTATCACAAGCCCTGCTCCTTGACTTTTGTGTTATTTGTAAACATGTGCACACTTATAACAACAGGTGTAACTTCCTGTTTATACACTGTCCCCAGAGGTCACCTCTGGGTGTGAGATTACAGGTGGTGTTCATGTTTTAGTGTGACTGGATCCTAGCTCTATTTTAACGGTAGCTTCCATAACAATGGCAGCGAAAAGTTAGGACAAAAATCGTCCATAACTTGAAATGCCTCAGGAGGTCAGGTGGTCGGTGGGTGGACGGAGGGACGGGTGGGCGGACAGGGGAGTGAGAAAGTGAATGTGGCAAACTGTTAACCATCACATCTGGGTGGCAGCCTCACAGGATGTCACGGAACAGTTCTTCCAGGGTTTTTTTTTTTTTTTTTTTTTGTATGTTGGAAAAATTTCGTAATAAAATATTGGGAGAAGTCTATAAACACCACTTACTGCCCCCCCCCAAGCTGCAAACACCAACTCCTACATTCATCCCTACCGATTTTCTCTACAGAATCCCATTTTGGAATGATGCAAGCATCTCGTCGCTTCAAGAAGATGATCTCTGTTGTAAGGATTTTCAGATCTCTGTCGGAGGCCCCGAGTTCCTCGAAGGACCGGAAGCTTCTAAGTCCATAATCGATCAGCAGCGGGCACGTGGCTGAGGGAGTGGCTCTTGAATCCCAGCTGCTGACCTGGGCAAGTCCCAGAGCCACTTAGAACCTCGGTCTCTCCTTCTGTTGGACGGAAGCGTGAACGGTACCCTGGTCTTAGGACAGCTGTGTGATTGAATGGGTAGGGCGACCCACGGCTCCGGTTTGAGCCCCGAGAGTCCAGTGTCCCGGGAATGCTCCCTTCCTGGGCAACCAGGCTGGCCGGTTACCCTACGCGCCAGCCCAGGCCGTAGAAAGCACCCACGGCGTAGCGGCTGCTGGGATGGCGTCTACCGACCTCTGCCGGGTACCCGCGGTCGTCCACCGTGTGCTCTGAGCCCCGCTCGTTGGCCGCTCCCCAGTGGAAATGGAACTGCTTTAGTCTGTAGAGGTTTTCCAAGGGGCCACCGCTGATCCCTGGAAAACGAAACCAGAGGAACCCGTGTGTTAGTTTGTCTATTTGTCGGACTGCCTTTTGCTGTGACAGCGCCTACCTACACGGAGGTCACACAAGTGTCCTCCCGAGAGATCGACATCCTGCAGAAAGGACAAACTGAAAGGCCGGCTCTTGTCTGTTCACCTCTGTCCCTGTACCCCTCTGGCCCCAGCGGACCTCAGCCGACCAGAGCGAGTGCAGAACTCAGCGCTGCCACCAGGTGGCGGCAGGGACTTCATCCCCTTTGGTGCCACAGGAAGGCATGCTAAGATGCATGCCCATCCTAGAAGGTTTCCAGGCTTTTCTTTAATTAAAAAAAAAAAAAAAAGATGTCTTTTGAATGAAAAAGTGGCAGCGTAAATTCCACCACCAAAGAATTCCATAAACTAATATGTAATGAGCGAGATGTTCACGTAAAGAAATTCCAAGAAACAGCACGCTGCCTTCCCCGTCAGCGCCAATCTGCATGCAGTCCCTGTTCCAGGTAGTCTCACTGTACGACCGGGCTTTATTGGTGGACTCTTTTCTAAGTCACCCTGAGTCCCCGGCGCGGCCTCCCCGAGAGCTGATAGCAGACAGGAGCGTCCATGATGGCGCACTAAAGGGCCCCGTCCCGAGTCCAGGGCGAGGGCTGAGAATTCCATGCACAAGGCTGGCCGAGCTCCGGCTGCACTTTGCTAACAGATTTCCATCAGTGTTGCTACGGATAGAATGGTAACTGTGGTGCATCTTGCTTTTAACTGAAGTGAGCACACGGCTACTGGGCTGGGGGGCAGGTCAGGAGGCCCTCCTGCAGATGCCAGGGATGGCCCAGCCCACATCAGCTCCTCTGGGTGACCAATGCTATTGACAACGTCAGAGGCCCCTGGCTGGTGGTGTTCTTGGTTCTGCTTTCGCCATGAAAAGTACAAGGAGCAGAAAGAGCTGAACGGTAAAGTCGAAAACAGATTGAGTTCACGATTCCTGCCCTTGACCAGCTCAAAGAGCTCCTCTCTGCCTTTCTTCACTAGAAAATGAGGGTTGTTGGTCTAGAACCTCATTAAGTTCTTGTCTAGTTGTAGAGTTCTACGGTTTTATGAGGTGATCGACTCTCCTGAGCGCACACATGTGAATTATACCTCAATTTTTAAAAATACACAGAGGGAAGCATATAAAAACGTCCTAAGTCCCAAAGCCCGAATCTACAGGTGGCCACAGCACGGGAGCGTGGAGGAGTCGCTCTGCAGATGAGAAAGCCTCCCAGTGGGTTCGAATCACAAGGCTTTAATGGAGATTTTCTGTGGCTAAAATGACAAAGCGGGTTGGATTTTTTTCCCTGGGAGGGGGAGGTGAACTTGAGCCCACTGGCCTTTGTAGTTTTGGGTTGCCTTGTAGTTTACCAGCAGACGGTGGGCAGTTTGCTGGTAATCCCAGCAACAGGAGCTAGGATTTGAGCCCAGGTCTGACACGAAAACCCACGCCTTTTCCACTTTATCCTTCCAAGCAGAAAACACAATTTCAGGAAGTTACAGGACCACGAACCCGGGCAGTGGAAATCTCTGTGCTTGCTCCTGCCTGGCGCCCTCTATCCGTGGTGCAGAGGGGCTTTGTAGCGCTGGCCAACCAGGGGACTCGCTCTGCCAAAACGCACCCGTTCGTGACCAAGAGGCAAGCCCGAGGGGTGAGTGTGGCACTTAGAGTCTGAGCAACTTTCCTGCAGGAGGTGGCCGGGGCCCCGCGGCGGAGACGGTAACATGCTCACCCATGCAGGCCGACATCCTCTTTTCTAGAACCAGAGCGCCAGAAGGCGGGAATGACAGGTAGGCCTGGACTTGCAGCTTACCTCCGCCTCACACTTGCCTGTCTGAGCCTCAGCCTCCCCACCCGTGCAGTGAGTGTTGGTGGGATAAACGGAGGTGGTGACGGGGAGTGTGCCTGGTGGAGGGTTGTCATGACGATAATCATGCTGGTAAACAAGGACTTGACTCCATCTGTTAAAAAACAATTACCAGCTAGAAGGTTCTTGCAGGCCCTTCCCGCTGAAGCGGGAATTAGAATTAGAATTCTATGTAGGCACGTACATAAGGTCTCCGAAAGAGCGACAGCAACTGTATGCAGCATAAATCCACCCCTGGCTGGATGTCCGCTAGAAGCCCGCCAAAAATGCCCTTGTAGAAAAATCTCCCGTGGTGCCAGGGATGGGAAGCTGCGGGGACGGGAGGGGCTTGTGGGCGCGCCCCGCCCACTACTCCTTCCTTTGTAACTGGAGAGCTGCAAGGTCAGAAGCCTGTTCCAAGGTCACCCTCTGCACAGGACTGGGGCCCACAGACAGGGCCCCGCACTCTCCCGACGTGAAGCTGCCCCTGAAGCTGCCTCCCACCAGCCAGACTCCAGCCCGTCTGCTTCTGCAGGAGAATGAAGCATGGAAGGCCATCCTTTGGAAACCTGGGGTTCTGGCCCACCTCAGAAATGAATGTTCCCGTTCAGCGGGGCCTCCAAGACACATGTCTTTTTCAGGGTGACATCTGGGCCTCTGTAAAGGAAGGACTCCATCCTGGGCCGGGACCGGGCAAGCTCCTAACACCACCTCCCCCACCCCAAGGCTGTGGCACCTCCCTAGCCTTATCATATGCAAACACAAACAAGGAGATAAGCAAAACTTGAGCTTTCTAGGACGACAAGTGAGGAGGAAGGAGGAAGTTTATAGCCTGGGCTGGGCTGGAATGGTGCCCTGGGGCAGGTCGGTGGAGACACCGACAAACCTGGACCTTTGGCTGATGCAGGCATGGCGCCCCTTTCAGCCTTTGAGTGCCCCCAGGAAGAGGGGAAGGGCAGGTCAGAAAGCAGAGCTTCTATGTTCAGGAATGCCCTCAGTCACCCGGCGACCCCATCCCAGGCCTGCAGCAGGGTTCCAGCCCCTCGGCTGGTGCAGCAGGGTTCCAGCCCGTGAGCCTTTCCTGCCGGGAAACTTAGGAACTCAACTTAAGGCTGCAGCCCTGGATCAAGTAACCTCAAGGTGACTTTTCATAATGACACTGCAGTGCCAGGGTAGTTCTCTTTCATAAAACTATTTAAAAAGGCAAGCCTGATTCTGGAGAAGGGGGACTTCCACTTGCCAGGCCCCAGGCCCCAGACTCGGTCGCCAGGAGGGTGGGTGTGTCTCACCCGCCGGTCTCCCTGAGCAGGTGCATCGAGACATAACGGTGGAATTGCTGGAGCCACTGCCAGACCCTGCAAACGCCTGGAGGAATCGGACTCCACGGGGAAATCTGCTATCCCCAGGAACTGTTGTGTCTGTGCTTACAACAGTCGCTGTTAATAGCCATCCATTTGTCAGCTCAGAGCTTTCAGCAAGAGAAGCAGGCTTTTGGCAGGCACGGTTGTTTTAAGGCTTAAATACAAGAGAAGTTTGAGATGCTCTAATCAGTTAAAATTGCAAATAATGCAACGTCGCCAAGTGTTATCAGCCCGTCCTTGGTGCCACCCCAGGAGCTCGCTAGTGTCCTGGAGCTGTGACGGGCAAGACGAAGGGCCCGCGTGTGTCGCCTGCACCAGCGAGGTCTCGGTCATTGTCCCAGCAAGCCGGACCCACAGCTGGGGGCCAGCACGCGTCGGGGCTGGAGCGGCGCAAGCCACCCCCCAGCACCCCCGCTCTCTGGGTGGTTACGCTCCAAGATCATCACATAGTGGCTCCAGTTTTAGAGCCAGGCCGACTTGGACTCACTGATTCAGCGTCGCTCAGCTTTGCACGGGCTGTTTTTACCTCTCTGCGTCTCTCCCTGGCGCGGCCCCTGGGACCCAGAAGGGGCTCCGTTAGTGACTGCGCCTTCTACTATTATTACCGGTATTATTGTGCTTCCCAAAACTGTCACTGTCATCACCATCAAAGCAGAGACCCGCGGAGACCCGAAGTCGCTGCGATGACTGTCAGGACGGGACCTGCGCGCACAGACACCGAGGGGCAAACCATCTGCAGGAAGTGTCCGTGAGAAGGGGCGCGGCCAGCCACAGAGGCGCCAAGGAAGGAAAATCATTCATTCACTCGGCAAATATTCGGGGAGCTCCTATGATATGCCGCACCGTCTGCTGGGCATAGCGATGGAGAGAGAAGGGGACCGATGCGGTCCTGCCCTCTTGGAGCTTGGGCTCCGAGGGACAGGCAGACGGTGTGCTGACGGTGAGCGCGAGCAGTGACGGGGGCGCGGTGGGGTGCGCTCTGCGGGACCTACACTAAGCAGCACAGGGGGCCTCCCTGAGGATGAAGAGAAAGACGGTGTTAGGCCGAAAGTGACAGGAGGTGGCGAGGGCAGGAGGGAGAGAGAGCAGGCCACCATGACGGCACAGACCGAAGGTCCGCAGGGTTCCTGCAGGGCGCTAAGGGGCAGGTGCTGCCGTGGCCCAGGAGGGGAGCCTTTGCCGACAGACGGAATGTTCCAGTCTTTAAAAATGGATGCATTATGCAAGGTTCAGCCAAGACCCTCAGCTGTGTGAGTGCTCAGCTGCCCTGGCCTGACCCCAGGGTCCACTCCTGGGTCGGCGTGCCGGGAGGAGACGTGCCGTGTGCGGACGGAGCCCCTCTCCACGCGGAACCCGGGGATGGCTGGGATCGGGGAGGCCCAGGAAGTCGCTGCCCAGGGAGGCTCTCCACTTGCAAGGCCCGAAGATTAACCGTGTCTGTGGCGGGCTCTCCTGAAGGTGTTCCGTGCGTCTGTTCAGCATCTCCTTCAGAAGGTCCCAAAATTCATCTTCCCAAGGCCTCGCTGTGGCTCCTGACAGTCTCTCCTCTTCTTCCTTTGCTCCCCATGGGTCTCTCCCCCTGTCCCCGCCCCAGACAGCCTCCCCTTGTTGTGCTCCACATGCCGTGGTTAGTGGACCCCGCTCCCAAGGGCCGCGCGGGGTCACGGGAGGGGGTGCCAGCCGGGCTCGGGGCTGGGGAGGGTGGGGATGGGCGGCACCTTCTCCCTGATGTGTCAGTTACCTTTCAATTTCGCTCTTTGTGTGA